AGGAAACAAAACTTCAAGAACACGGCCACACAGCCCGGAAGACCCACACCAGCCATAGAATGACAATATCTCAGTGACCACTAGATGGTAGCAAAGGGTTACAGTTTTCTGTAGCTTTCTGCTGATACCTAGTGGTCATCTATGCAGCTCAGATCTGATTGTCTGTCTTAAAAATCAGGAGGAGTCTGGTAGCACCTCTTCCAAATGACAAATTTTATTAAAAGGCACAAGTGGCTCATGAAAGTGCATGCCTTGTTAGTCGAAAAGGTGCTACCAGACTCCCTCTCATTTAAAAGTAACTTAGTGTAAGGAACAGCGGCTAGATTCGCCCTTCACTGTAATCTTGCTTAGCATAATCTCAGCCACTGTGGAATATAAGCCATCATTTCAGGCTTAACATATGATCCAGGTCATTGTGGTTTGCTAATCATAGTTAACCTTGACTATAGTACAGCCCCAAATCAACTAACACTTTGAGGCTGAGCAGGAAGTTGAAAATACATCCCAAAAGAAGATAATGACAAGCTATTTCCATACTGTCACCAAGATACTACATGGACATATCAATGTGATTACCAGGATTGATCCCAGGTGATCACATTGAGTTATGATTGGCTCCAGGACACTACCTTTAATCAAATTGAGAAACTAAAGGTTGATGTCTGTAACCTTCCATCTACCATCCAAATGTTTCATTCTTCTTAAACCCTATACTCAACAAAACAGACTATAAAATACCTATAAAAAGTTCCATGAAAGTGCAGAATTCTATGTACTTAGGGCTTCCTCTATGAATATTTCTTCTTTGAGGATATTTGCATATAACTTTTGTTATGTGTGGGACTCAACAACTATCCTATTCATGGAATTAATATTTCATTTTTTCATTAGAATTTTACGCTGTGGGATATTTAATTCCTTTAAGTAGTCTGTGCTCTGTTGAAGTTTGCTTCATTGTTTGTTTTAAAGAATGATGGCATTGCCTTTTTAAATGGCACAATGCGCTGTTAACTGCCAGACAAATGTAAAACACATTCCTCTTTTAAAATTTTATGGGGTATTAATAACATTGAGTTACAGTAGCATTAATTTTTGATTCCAAGAAGGAGTACTTAAAATCAATGACCACTGTTTTGATGAGAGAGATGTGGCTCCCTTATTTCCCCCCCAAGTCACCAAATCAAAAGATCAAATTTTGTCCTAAGCCTAAGTCCATTGTATGAAGAGTTGGCAAAATGTTAACTTTATGAATATACAACCGGGTCCAAATTCTGAACTTTGTGCTAAAAAAAAGAAAGAAAGAAAGGAACAGGCTTGACTCACTTATTTCATTATCTCCAGGATCAGCGTTAATACTTAGTCTCATTCAATTGATTTCAATTGGGGGCAGTTTGAGGATTGATGCCTTGATGATGACCACCTTCACTCTGTGTTAATGGAACAAGTTATTATTGATAATGTGGTCTAAAGGCAGAGTTTAAATTAATGGAAACTGTTACAGCAGGGATGGAGGTAAAAAGGAAAGCTTATGAGAGATGTTTGATATTTTTGTGCAATAATAAAGCACTCTCTCTGCACACATGAAGGCTTAGCTTTTATAAAGGTTTGCAAATATTCACTTTCTTGATCATCTTTAATGAATAAAAATTGTATCAGGTGATCAGGCAGGTGAGTTTTACGGATTACTATTTTGAGCCTCAGAATGACTAACCTAACTATATGTGGATTGGCAGGCTAGTACTTTTTAAGGGTTTATTCACAATTCTGAGTTACATAAGGGCTATCAGATAAATAAGTCTAAATAATTTGTTTGCTGAAAACTAATGTCATAAACTTATAATGCACTAGCATAATGAAAAATAGGTCATACTATCATTTCCTCAAAATGCTCATAAACTGGTTCATGCTGAACCACATCATGTTATGTTTAATCAAAGTTTCTCAAGCTAAATTTGGCTGAATTGACACAAAACACTAAAATAAAACACATTTTGGGGAAGATTCAATTGCCAGCTCTGACCAAATTAGAACCTTTTGTCCAATTCCAGCCGGTGAATGATGGGAATTTTGTCATACTACTCACAAGGAAGAAATGAGATGGAGAAGGTTACCCTGAAGTGCTTTTGTGGTTTATGGTTCATCTGTACACACTGCCAGCCATGGTGTGAAAATGCCCAGCTAACATATGTTGAGGACATGACTGTACAATGTTGTCCTCAACTTGCTCCTCAACCTATTGTGAAGGCAGTTTCCACCTGTTTTCTTGTTCTGAGTCAAAAGGAGTGTTTTCCAGTGTCTTCCATCCAAGTTGCACCATCCAATTTGTCTGAGGCATATTGTGCCAAGATAAGATTAGAGGCAAGAGCCTTCACGGTTCCAATTGGCCACTTGAGGCTGCTGTGGGCACACCTCCCCTCTGGTTCCAGGCCACTGATTTTCAAGGTCAGTTGTCTTTTGGCAGAAGTCTCAGGGCTCTCCTCCCATGCCCAAAAGTCACCCCTCTCACTCTCTTGCCAACCTATGGGTAGCAGGAAAAGCAGAGAGAGGAAGGAAAAAGTGCAGGCACCCAAAAGACCCGGTTCTTTCCATGGGAGTGGGGGAAGCAGGTCTTCCACTGTCAGTTCTCTAATCCCAGCGATTAGAACAGAGAACTGGGAGCAAGGAAGCCATTCTTCCCCACTTCTCTCCCCAATCCCCATTCTCTTCCCACTGATGGGACAAAAGAACTGTTTTTTTTCATGGAGTGGCAGCTTTCCCCATTTCCTCATGGGAAAGGAACTGGAGGAGGGAGCAGCTCTTCAAGCAGAATCTGCTCATCCTCACCAGTTCAGGAGTTGCAGCCCCTAAACCCCAGGGTTGGCCATTTATATGGGTGTCCAGAAGCCACCCAGAAGACTTCTGGGCATGTGTCAGGAACATCTCCGGTGGCTGTGATTCAGCTGCCCAACTCCTCCAGGGGGTGCTTTTGACCCAGGTCCAGCCCCTTCACTCTGGGAGGGGAAGTGGAGGAAAACAGCCCCCACTACATGGGGCAGGGAGAAAGCAGGTCTTCTCTCCCTTACAGTGGCTCATAAACGCTGGGAGAGAGAAGAGGGGAAACTATTTCTAGAGAGGCTTTTTTGCGGCCAGCCCTCTGTTCCCATGGAGCGGCCACTCTGTGAAACCGGAGTCTCAGAGAGCCAGGCACCAAAGGATGTGCTCCCCTGTGCAGTTACACTCCCATATTCTGCTCCGTTGCAAAGGCACGAAGAGTAGGGGCTGGATTTGCGATCAGCACTTCTTTGATTCGGCATACGGTACTTTTCTGCCGGCTCCTTCACTGGATGGCCGCCCTGTACTGTTGCCATGCCAAGAGCCTCCTCACACCTAAGCTGTAAAACGCTCCGAACGCGGAACAGCGCCACGCACATTTGAGAATAAAAACCTTGCCCCTTCGCGAGCGGCGCATTTCACCAAGTCCGGCGTTACGCAAGAGGGCTTCGCGCTCTTATTCCCGTTTACCGGAACGTTCACACGAAGTCCGAAAGCAGCCCGTTCCCAAATCAACCTGCGCAGAACGGGCGGCAGACCAGGGCTGCAATTTTACGCCCAACACTATGGGAACACTGCATCGCCTCCCTCGAGCTGACTTTGAAGGCGGCCTGTGTTGCAGTGAGCGGGGGGGAAACGAAATACACGTCTACTGCGTGTCCCAAGTTGTTCTCTCCCGAAGTGAGACGCTCCTACCCAGTGGTAGGAGATCTATGGGATCCTAGGAAGAAATAAGCTCTCGGCCAGTTTGGGAGTTGGTGGCCTTATGCGAATAAAGTGAGCAGGGACGGGACGGGACCGCACCCCGAGTAAATGTGGCCGGGTGGAGGCCCCGACGGCAGGATCGCGGGGCCGCCGCCGCGCTAATCAGTGGGGCGGAGAAGGTCTCCCGTCCCAAGGAAGAGCGGAGCGGCGATGGCGGCGGCATCGGCGGCGGCGCCACCCTCCCGCTCTGCCCTGGCTTCTGCCGCGGCGCTGCTTCCGAGCCGACTTAACGAAGCCCCGACTCCTCTCCGCCTTCACTGCGCCCCCGCTCCCCCTCCCTTCCCCTCATTCCTTTGTCTTCTTCGGGATTGGCAGGTTTTATTATTCCGCCTGAACAAGCTGCGGGCGGATTGGGCGAGGCGCCGTGACGCGAGGGGCCGAGCCGCGAGCAGGTTGGGCTTTTCTT